CCAGCAGCAGTTGTGATCTTAAAATGCAAAAATTTAGTTCTTAATCCATCATGTGTGGGTCTTTATGACTAATGAAACTCCCATATTTATTTATCTAGGTCCGTTTTCTTAGCCACAAGTACAAGCCTGTAATCTCTAGGGCTCTTTCCGGGTCTGTGATTCTGTGGTTCTATTTCCTCTTCTGCCTTTTATAGTGGATAACATGAATCAGTTGTGAGCAGCCATTTCCATAAGAATCATTCCAAAAAAATTGTCAAAATGACAATGGCCTTGAGTTCCTTGGGAATGTTTTCTTATAGTTTGTTTCCTGTGTTGTTGGAATAGATAAATATTCATTGGGAAGCCAAATCTGTTTCAAAACTATCAAAAAGAAAAATCGTATTGGGTGTATTTGAGCAGCGCAGCCTCTCCTGTGGTGTTGGTTTGGGTGCCAGCTGGCTGAGCTCCACATCACTATGGCTGGGTCATGAAGTGCTCATGAGTCAGGGGGACACAAAGCTATCATTCTCAACACCAATTATTGCATTACTCATTGCCAAAAGCTGATGCTCTTTAAACGTCTGTTGAAATAGGATGAACCTTTTGACCTTACATATAGCTAGCTCCTTCAGAAAGCTGTGCTTTTACAGCTGCGATAGCCCTCTTCAGTTTTCTTCTTTCTCAAAATGTTTACTTTATCTGCGTGTAAAGGTGTTTTGCCTGCACACATGCACCTCAACTGTGGTTGTTAATGGTGGTATTTGTGGCACTCCTCCTCCTCTCAGCAGCTAGTCATTTGGGGAATTATAACAAGCCAGGAGGGCTGGAGGACCGTCCTGGCTGTAACCATCACAATTTAACAGAGGATGTGTCAGATTCTTGAATTGCTCAAATCTTGCCTTTGTATCTCCTGCTTTTTGATTAAGCAGTGGGTGAAGTGAGCGTCAGAGAAGTACAGCTGGCAGTAAGTCAGTCAGTCAGTGGAGCGATGTGCGTGACAGCAGCGGGACTCTGGCTATGGTTTGCCCAGTTCACACAGATGCAAATATGAAACTGTATTAATGAAATACATTTGAATATTGTAAAAAGATATGATTCGTGCCAAACAGGCTTTCCACTCCTGAGCTATTTTTAGTAGCCATGTGTACTGGGGAAGTAACTCAGGTTCAGTTGCTCAAGGATGGGCCTTAACCTGAATCTTGGAGTGAATTTAGATTAGTTCAATCTTGGTAAGTCCCAAGGCAGTGATTCCTGCAGGAAATAGGACTTAGCCCACCAGAACATGATGTTCCTATGACAAGTCCTTGAGAAATGAGACATGGGGGACTGGAGAGAGAACTTATTTGTAAAGTTCTAAGGACAAGGGCCTGAGGTTAATCCTATGGCTTGTTATTGTTGTTGTTGTTGTTATTGTTTTCAAAAACAGCTGAATGTATAATTCTCGATGTTTGGAAGGTGGGACTTTGGGGAGGCATAGAGAAAAGAGCAGAACCACTGAACTGAGGGGTCTCTGAACCTGCCTCCGCTGGGCTTACTTATGCATTAAGAGATTACGTTAAGCTAGTTTGAGTTGAACTTGCAGTTGAAAGTATCCTAACCAATACAATTTTGTTGGTAATTGCTCTTTTGTCTCAGAAAAGTAAATGTTAAAGTGAATGTTGATCTACTGCATTTCTATTGATATCACTGTCAAGCTAATTAGAAATATCTTCATTTTTTTAGGGGCAGAGATTTTGCATCACTATAACTATTATGAGAACATGCATGTTTGTCTGTGTGTTTGGGGGTGCACACGTGTGTGCACTTGTCAGTAATGTTAATCCCTCCATTTCTAGTGAAAGGTCCTGTTTCCGTGTTAGCTGATCAACTATATTCTGCAGTTAAAGCAATGCCAAGTGCCACCATTCACAGGGAAGTTGTCCTCTGACCTCTACATTCTGCTATGGAGAGAGCTTGTTCCCACACATATGTAAGGAAAGAAAGAAAAGCAAGCTTTAAACAAATTAAATTTAATAGTGTCCATGAGCCCAGAATGATTCATGAATCAAGTGGCCCCTAGCACAGGGCAGGTTCAGTGATACTCCAGGGCTACCATGTGGCTGGATGCCAGTTACAGATCAGGGAAGTGAGATAGGGGGAAGCCCATTTAACTACAACTTGGCATTTGCCTTCTTTTGAACCTGGTTTGACTAAAGCTTGGCTGATGGGATTGACTGAGACCGTTGTTCCATAGAAGGCAAGTCACCGAGGCAGCATAGTACTAAGTCAAGTCAAGTTGCATTTTCCCGTTGGAGCATCTGAGAATGGAGGCTTTCCCAAGCCACCTTTGGTTGGAGTTAACATGGTCAAGCACATTTCACAGATCCACTGTCTTTCCATTTTGAAGCATACACCTCAATGGTGGGTAATGTCCTGATTTTGTGAGGTATTCAGCAGAATTTGGAAATCTAAAGTCCCACTTCTTTCTTACCCTCCAGTCCCCCTTGCCACTCCTTCTAGTGGGTTTCATTCCTCTGATGTGGAATTCTCTGATGTGGAAGGCTCTCTGAGAGGCGGCTCACCAGTTAAGAGCACATGCTCTTCCAGAGAGCCCTGTTCTTTCCCTTCTTTTCTTTTGCTTTATTTCCTTCCTTCCTTCCTTCCTTCCTTCCTTCCTTCCCTCCCTCCCTCCCTCCCTCCCTCCCTCCCTCCCTCTCTCTCTCTCTTTCTTTCTTTCTTTCTTCTTTTTCTTTTCTTGTTGTTGTTTTTGTTTGTTTACTTTTCCCCCCTACAGAGTCTCTCTACATGTAGCTCTGGCTCTCCTGGAACTCATTATGTAGACCAGGCTGGCCTCATAGAGGTTCACCTACCTCAGCCTCCCAAGTGTAGTAACTCCAGCTCTAGGGGATTCAACACCTCTGGCCTCTGCACACACATACACCCCACACACATATGCGCATAATTAAAAATAATTAAAAATTTTTGAATGTTAGTTTTGGAAAACACTTACTGAATGCCTACTGAGTGTTAGGCATTGTTCTTTATGTGGGGGCCAGAAAGAGATAAAGGCTGGAAGAAGGATTTTTTTTTGTTTTGTTTTAATTTATTATGCACTTGAGCTTTATGTGTGTTTTACACACACACACACACCATGCCCATGTATGGAAGTCAAAGGACAGCTTTAAGGAATTAGTTCTTCCACTGTGGGACCCCAGATTGAACCAAGGATTCGGGGGTATTTTAAAAAGTCAAGTCACAATAAAAACTGGTGTCTACACCTGAAACAAGTGATGGCAGACATAGGTACTGTGGGATTAGCAGTACTAGTCATGCTACAGAACTAAGTTTTGCTTTGCAACTGCTCCTGCAAAGCCAACTACTGTAGAGGAAGAAACATAAGCCGTGTAACTTGGGAACACTGGTATCAGATTGTATTTGCTCACAGTCCAGGGCCATTAGCAAGAGAAAAGAATGCTTAAGAGGCTAGCTTGTTAGATCGACTTGGGTGGGAGTTGTGTGTTTCCAAATGCAGAAAGCTAAGAAGGTGCCCTCATGGAAAAGTACCACCCAGGGAAGAGGGTGAAATCCAGTTGGTTTATGCATATGCATTACTGAAAGTTGGAGCTGGTAAATAGTCTTTTTGGGTGCTTTCCACCACCCTGTGAAGAAGTATTATACATGGCTGCGTGATACCCCTCCACACTCCAAATGCCAGTTACTGTTCAAGACCATTTATAGGACATAGTTTATAAATGTTCTAGAAGAGTATTAGAAACTGAGTTCAGTGGAAAAGGTAAAAGAATGGTAAAAAACCTACATACAGCTGGGTGACCAGATGAGAGGATTTAGTACATTGTTGCCCAGTTGTATTTACCTCTGATCCCTACTGAAGTCTTTCCTTATTCCTGGGGTTGGGGCTATAGCTCAGTTGGTAGAGTGCTCACCTAGCCTGTAGAAAGTCCTCGGTTCCCAGCACTGCATGAGCTGGGGCGGTGGAGTGGCGATGCGTGTGTGCAGTTCCAGCACTTGGAAGATAGAGGCAGAAAGGTCAATTGAAGGTCATCTTCAGCTACACAGTGATCTGAAGCCAGTTTTAGCTAACCTCAAAAGTAAACACAAAGATAAAGCCTGCTTCCCCATTAAGGGAAGGACAAGGACTGTGTGCTCCAGTCCTAAGTAAGTTTGGACTGTCATGGCTTTCGGATAGCTAGGGGAAGGGATGCCCAACTTTTGAAATGCCAGAGTCCAAACACTTTCCTTTCCCTGTCAGCCTTTGGGCCTGCTGGGCTTTGGATTTAGGTTCAAATTACTCAGGGAGCTATGAAAATCACCAGCTAACCAGACTGACCAGCTGAGTCAGTCTCAGGATTGGGGAGGAGGCAGGCCTAGTCAAGGGAGTTTTTGTTGTTCTCTCTGGAATTTCAAATGCGACCAGGGCTAAAACAAACAAACAAAACAAAATAAGATATTCTAGCCATTTCAGTTCTAGGCAATAACTCTCAAGGAACATTAATTAAATGTACATGAAGTCCCTGCTAACTGTATAAAATAGGCTTTCCCTCCCTCGACTTCAAATGGGCAGAATCTCATTTTCTTTTTTCTTAAGTGGGCAGGATCTGACAAAATAAATGAAGGGAGGGGAAGAAAATTGTTTTAAAGAATCTCTACACTCTTCTATAGGGAAGGCTGGGGCATGAGGACTGAAAATATTGTGTGTATGTATTTCAGGAAGGAGAAAATATGTTATGTTCTCGGTCCTTGTGAATTATGTAACTCTGCAGGATGTGGTCCATTTGTGCCCAGATAATGAGGCCTGTAATCCTGCACTTCACATGTGTGGGAATGCTTTGCCGAGTGATTAGCATTCCTTTCTCCAGCCTGTATTCAGAGGAAACATGCCATTCACACCCTCTGTGCGCTCACATTTTCCAGTGCGTTGGAGAGCTTTTTTTTTCTTTTTCAATAGAAATCTTTGTTCCCTCCCTAATAAGACTTGGATTGAATTTAAGGAACTTAGCATATCCTTTTTTGTTTTCTGGCAGGAATTGATTTTAAAATCAGAACGATAGAACTCGATGGAAAGAAAATTAAACTTCAGATATGGTAAGTTTAAAAAAAAAAAAGAACGAAGGCACATGGAATTTCTTCTGGAATTGGAAGTGGGTTAAAATGTGACTCAGGACATTAGAGACATTGTCCGGTCACTCAGACCTTTCCTTTGGAAAACCAGAGGGGGAAGGAGGTCCAGAGCCTGCCTGTTCTAAGCTCTGGACAAGAAGAAGTGGATTCTCAAAAGCATACACTTCCTCATTGTAGTTGCAGCTGTGACTCAGACACAACAAAATGGCACAGACCCTGGCCTGAAAGTCAGGCCTGGCTTCTAGCCACAGCATTCTAAATCAAGGACTTTGGGGAAATGGCTTGCTTTCTGTCCATCACTGACAAAGAACACGTGAGACACTGCATTTATAAAGAGAGATGCTTTGTTTCGGTTCCCAGTTGGACCTAGATTAGGTGGAGCCTTGGGTTTGGGCCTGCTGGACGGCAGTGACAGGAAGTGCTTGGCAGAGCACGGGGAAGGGCCCAGAGTCCTACAATCCACTTAAAAAACGTGCTCCCAGTGACCTCAGGACTTCCCACTCAGCCCAGCCCCCCCAAAGATTCACTGCCTCTCAGTATCGCCACCCGAAGACCAAGCCTCTAAGATGTGGCCTTCAGGGGAAACGTCTCCAAACCATCACACCTTTCCAGGCTCTGCTTTTTTTTTTTTTTTAAACATTTAAATTACCTGGATTGATGAGAGTGGAGGTCCTCCATAGCTCTGGTATTTTATAATTTATCAAGTAGGGCCTATTTAATAGAGAAATGGAGGGGGGGAAGTACTGTGAATTTAAAAAAATAAAAAAGTAAACACTTTTGATACTAAATATACATGGGGTTCCCCTTCCTGCTCACCCCAAGTATCTCCAAACGATACTACGTGGGCGTTCTACAACCTAACTCAATTCTGCCACTGTCCACCTAGAGATAGCGTCAGCTATCATTTGAGGGCACAATCCCACAGACTTTCCTGTTACTCACAAGCAGTAAATTGTCACCTGTTACTGCCATTCACACCCCCTTGTTCCATCACAGAACTCAGAGAAACACATTCAACCTTGAAGTTTTTTTCTTATTATATTTGTGTGTGTGTGTGTGTGCGCGCGCGCGCGCGTTCGTGAGAGTGTGTTTTCTGTTTCTAAATCAGTAATGTTTCTGAGTCAAGGAAATATGATTAATCTACTCAGAGGTACTTGGTTTCTCTGTTCCTCCTTGTTGCTGAGCACAAAATAAGTTCCTCACATTTCTAATGCTGATAGGGAAGAGAATAACAAGATATGGGGTTGGTGGAAGTCTCATCCAGGTGCTCAGCAGCTGAGACCTGTACTGCTTGCCTCTCATTCGAGGCTGAGAGCTGTTTAGTGGCAGAGAGAAGGCCATAGCTCTCCTGAGCCTGCTGCATCTTTTGCAGAGTAAAGATGATAATATCACCCACTTCACTCTGGGCTGTGGGGGTATCATGTTCGGAAGTATTTTATAAAGTAGATATCAATATTAAGATATTTGCTGTTTAATTGGCTATATTTCCTTTGAACCTTTATCCTTTGGTGGGGTTTACTGTATATTAGACTTTTAATATAGTTCCACAAATCTCTCTGTTCTTTGCCATTAAATTGTATAATTTGGTTTATCTTAGTATCACAGGAACTGAATTAGTTCCGGCTATAAATGGCAAATTTAAAACTAGTGACTTTCCCCCAATTATCAAGGAAATTTGGCTTCTTCTGTAAGATGGAAGCTATAGATTTAATTAGAAATGTCCGTATTTCTTGGAGTGTGTCAGTGTGAAGCACACACATGCTCCCCTTCACGTAGCCCTGGATTAATGCTAGAGACTCCACCTAGGGCCTTGCTAGGTAAGGGCCCTACTGTCGAGCCACACGCCCGTCCTAGAATACATACTTTAGCAGTATGATATCAGCTCAAAAGGAAGACTAGCTGAAAGATTGCGTCATTTTGAGATGTTTATGTTTAGTCTTTAGAAACTTGGGAAACGATGTTGGACTCCAGGTTCCTGTGTAATTAACTGCAGGCTGTGCTCTGAAAGTGTTCTAGAGGAGGCATGTTTTGTTCTGCTCTGCTGAGCAGAATGCATGTAGTCATTCAGCCGTTTGCTTTGTGCAAAAATCACACACGCAGTCAAGAAAGCAAAATGCCTCTATCATGTAGCACTTACAGACAGGTTATCACTGCCTCTGGGAGTCCAGAGATTTAGAGCTAATCTCTGTCTCCTCCCCTACCCTAGTTCCTAGTGGGATTTGCGTATTTTCTCATTGCCACTTTTACCAACATGTCTGAGTTTTCCATCCAAGTCCTTGTGAGTTCTGACAGACTCCTTTGGCAGCTGCTGCCTCCAGCTCTCAAGGCACAGTGTGTGCTGTCTTTGTGTGTTCTCCTTTTCCCTGCCACAGTGCACTGCGGGCAGATCAGAATTTTATCTGCTGTGACTTGGTGTTTTCACCCATGTGGCTGGTAATGTAAGCATTCTTTCCTTTCTTTGTTTCAAATTTTAGGGACACGGCGGGCCAGGAAAGATTCCGAACCATTACAACAGCATACTATAGAGGAGCCATGGTGAGTGTGTTTTGGGGGTTCTGACCCTTCAGGGGAAAATAAAACAGGGGTATTCATTGCCTGTCTATGGTTATGAAGCTAGAGCCCAGGACCACTGCATTCAGCATTGCCGGTTTGGTCCTAGAAACCTGATGGGACAAATGAGGGAATGAAGACAAGCCAGACATACAGACACACATACAGAAAAGCTGGGAGTGGTAGCCCTTGCTCACTTTGATGGAGCAGCACTTACACACAACATCCAGAGAGTTGATTATGGACAGAAGTGTGGGGCTAGCTTGTCTCGGTAGGAGATCTCATTAGGGGCGCAGTTCTGGTAGTAAACATCTGGATGAGGAAGCTGCAGTCTCCATCCCTGCTTCCTGGACTCTCAGTCAACATTCACATAGAGACCAGAGAAAGGCTTTGCCAGGTCCTGATCCTGACCTGGGGACAGCTTGCCCATTTCCTGAGCCTGATCCAGGATAGGCTTTGCTAATTCCCATGAGTCCAAGGCATTGGTGTCTTTATCAATAATATCCATTCAGCCAGGACTTCATCTGATCCTTATAAGCTCTCCTCCCTGGATAGTAAACTGAAGGAAAACACATTTTTTTAAATGTAAAACCAAGAGATTTTTAAAAACTGTATTTGGTTCTTAGTAGTTATATTTTGCTATTGGTCTTTGTAATAAGTAATTAGGCCATTAGCTCTTAGTTATTCTAGAACTCTACATTCAGCTAAGGTATTTTTACATTTTTGTCATCATTTTTCTTTTTTGTAAGCACTTGAGACCAGTCTTAGAAGGTCCCAGTCCTGAGACTAGGTTTTCCTGTTCCCTTTTGTCCCTCAGCACTATGTCACTCTGCGTTCTCTCCAGCCTTGCTACCTGGTCTTGCAAGTGGTTCATCTCTCTGGAGTCTTCTTGACTGACTAGGAGTGGCTGAGTGATTGATAACTCTAGAGGACCTTGGCTGCCAGGCCCTTCTTGGCTACTCCTGGCCATGTCCTTCTTGTCATAGTTCATTGCATGGCAATCTTCTGTCCTTACATGCTTCTCAAATGCATTCGCAGTGCCTGTTGGCTCTCGGCAGGACTTATGTGCTACTGGGAGCACAGTGGTGGACAAGAAACTCAGAATCAGAGACATGTGAGCTATTCCTGGGCTGTCAGGCCCACGTTAGACCTTCAATGCTAGCTTTTAGGTCTGAGTCTAGGTATGTGGCTTAGTGGTAGAATGTGTGTCTAACATTCCTGTTGTCAAATCTCTAGCATCAAAAACCAAATAAATTAAGTAGGCATAAACCAAGTCCAAGTTTGAGCCTTGAATTTTGATGAAAGCTGCTATGGTCTGACAGTGTTTGAAAGCTAAAGCTCATGGGGCCCTTGGAGGTTGTAGGGTATAGCTACTGTGACTCGAGTAGTCATGGGAGTGATAGGGTAACAGAGTTGAAAGGTACATGGCTATCCTTTGCATCCAGCAAGATGAGACCAAGGTCCACAGGTCCTTCTGCTATCATACTGTCATTCCTCCTCCCCCACTTCCCCTTGTCCACCGTTAGTTGAATATCAGTAACTTCTTCCTTCCACACAAGATTGAGGATTCCTTTTAATGCATACCACTAGCCACTTAATGTGTTCTCCACACTCGGCCTGGTGATACTTAATTAGGGTTTCTAAACACTTAACACAAACTTGCCAGAACAGATAACTTTAAGGTTGTAAAGAGTTTTCATTATCATACAGACAGTGGTTGCTGTGCTCTTATTTTGCTTAGATTGGAATCAGAAAGAAAGGACTTCCTGTGGGTTCCGGGGAAGATGAAAAAGAACATTTTAACAGCTTAAGTTTGGTATAGTCCAGGAGTAACTTTGATTAGAAGTATTTGAGACACACTAGTGTTTCTGTTGGCTAGTGTTTTCTACTCTGGGGCTAGGCGGTCAGCCCCCATGTTCCCTTTCCCTTGAGAGTAGGCAGGAACACTCCCTGGGGGCCGGCATCTCCCTTGGCTGTTTAGCTCTGTCTGGTTGATGGTGTGAAGAAATGGGCCAGTGGGATGTGTTACTGAATTTAGTCTCAAGGATGAGCTGGCATTCTCATGTTCCTACCGCCTCGTCTTCCTTCCTATGACTTCATACGGTTACAATCGTTGCTATGCAGGATAGAATCGTGCTTCCATTCTGCAGGTAGGGACCTTGCTTTACTTTTCTCTTTCATCTTGCTGTGTACAGTGTTATTCCTGACATAGTAGGTGCTCAGAGAAATACGTGCTGACAGTGTGAATTGGTGGAAACCTCTCCAGGAAATGCTGTTCTGTCGAGGTCTTGGATCTGTCAGGCTGTCTGTGTCTGTGAGCTGTAGGGCTATTGTGTTTGCATGGAGAGTGCTGGTCCCAGCAAGTGGTGGTCATGACAAGCTCCTGTTGGTTGGATCAGGCACGTGACTTTCTTCTGGAGTCTGCCACTATGTAGATGTCTTGGTTTCATTTTTTTTAAACATGTCAGCAACTTTACAGGCTTTTCCATGTTCCTACTTCCTTTACAATAAACCTTGATTGGACAGTTAGGCTGCAAGGGAAGAAGGCCGTAGCATTAAATCATTGTTATTTCTCATAGACCAACAACCTTTTCTGAATTCTTAGGCAACAGTTCCCACTGTAGACTATACTAGATCCATAAAGTTTAACTGGTATGCTTAATTTTTATTTCTAGCAGGTCCATATTAATTTTATAAACACAGGAAATAGTGAAATGGCTTTTGCTGTTGAACTCAAAGAGGCAAGTTAGTAATAGCTGCTGTTTGTTGAGTCCAAGTTTCGTCCTGGGGTCTGGGTTAGGTAGTTTACAGATAGCATCTCAGTAGCTCCTCAGAACAGCCTCATCTTAGAGACAGAGAAAGCTAAAATACTGCCTTCCAGGGTCTCCCTACTCATGACATAGTATCACCTGAGCTAGAAGCTTCTAGCCTGAGTGCCTCTGCCCCTCACACCACGCTGTGCTCCTAAGGGAGGGGACATCTGAGGCAGACAGGGCACGTGAATGATAGAACTTGATTAATTAGCCCAGAGGATAATAGCACTGTAGAGATTACTTGATTCATTTGAACTGTAGATAGTCAGCTAAATACTCTGTAGCAGTAATTATTGTTACTTGTTTTTTTTATTATGATAAATTATAAGAAGGATAAAACTTAAATACTTTTTCATTTTAAAATGTGTACTTTTCCACTTTAAAAATTTCTTCTAAATTTTAAAAATTTGAAAAAATTTTTACAGTTTATAGCTGAAGTGAAATGTGCATTTGAGGCAAAGAGGAGTGGGCCTGAGGAGACACGGGCTTGTCATTTAAACAATAGCACGCCGTTACTCCCAGCATTTATGAGTCATAGGCAGGCAAAGGTCTCTGTGAGTTGGAGGCCAGCCTGGTTTATATAGGAAGTTCAGGTCAGCCAAGGCTATAGTGAGACTCTGTCCCAAGAAAGGAAGGAAGGAAGGAAGGAAGAAAGGAAGAAAGGAAGAAAAGAAGGAAGAAAACAAGCCAACAATATTTTTCCCCTGGCTGTTAAAAAGTGGATTTAAGTAGTATTTTAAAAAGCTTTAAGAATTCCAATAAATTATCCCAAATCGTACTACCATAAAAGATAATTTTTTGTTGTTGTTTGTTTTATTTTGTTGTTTTGTTTTGTTTTGTTTTGTTGAGCCAGGGTTTCTCTCTGTAGCCATGGCTGTAATGGAACTCACTCTGTAAACCAGGCTGGCCTCAAACTCAGAAATCCGCCTGCCTCTGCCTTCTAAGTGCTGGGATTAAAGGTGTGCGCCACCATAGCCCAGCTGAGTGATAACTTAATGTTTTTTATTTCCTGGCTTTTTTTGTCTATGTTTTATGTGACTTGTATGTATTTGGGCAGTTGGAAGCCAGCTTGTGCAGGACTTGGTTGATGAATTTAATCTCAGAACGGTGGGAGTGAAAGGGTGTATTGCAAAGTTTGAACGTCGAATGATCACTGTGCCTTACGGAGAAGAGGCTTTAGGAGGTTCAGAGTAAAAGCAGGAAGCAGGAAGCCTGGCTCAGCAGCTCCAGGAAAGCTAACTGAGGAGAATCTAATATGCTAGTGCGTGGAAAGAGGGCAGGCTCTGCAAACACTGAGTCACGGCATCTCCAGGACCGGGGACTAGCTATGAGAGGAACATCCAGGTGTGGACACGGCTGCCTGGTTTTATTGCCCTTCACCACAAGACAGTAGAGGAAAAGCAGAAGACTTGGGAGGGACTTAAACTCTTCTGTTTTACTTCTGAGAATTTGTGGTGACTATAGGAAATCCCTAACAGCTGGTGTCTAGACAGTGTTCACTAAAGGATATCTGGTCCTGTTTGCCTGTTTAAACCCATCTTGTCCCTCTTCCCAATAGATCTGTGCACCTTGCTAAGCTTTCTGTGAGTCAATTGAGTGGACCTTCCCTGGACCTTCAATACAGAAAGCTATTCATCCTCCATCCCCTTTTTCTGGCCATGTGGGAGGTACCATGGGCTCTTTCGTCACCAGTTCTAGCCCCTTGCCAGATTAACTCTCCTCGGTCTTCATGCCTTGGCTGTACTTATTTTCTCAGAGAAACTGCCCTTCGCTGCTTGACCCACTTCTCCAGATACGAATTTGTCCCCTGTGTTGTAGTTCAAAGTCCCCCATGCTGCTTTGTAGCAGTTGTCTAGTTAATTGTGTATTGGCCTGTTTTCCTTGCTAGCTGTTAATGAAAAGAAGAGATCTTGGTTTTCCTGTTCACTGCTTATAATACCTAGTTAAGTATAGTATTTGGCACACAGTAGATACTTAACTAATTCCTGGGAGTTGGTAGGGTTTTTTTTTTTTTTTTTAAAGTGGAATCTGTGTATGTGTGAATATTTTAAATAAAGTTTTACTATGTAGCTCACACTAGCCTGAACTTCTTCTCTGCTTCCTGGGCGTTAGGATTTCAAACGTGCACACAGTCAGTATCTCTGTCTCTCCTTCTATCTACTCTCTTCCAGTGCTGGAGATCAAGCCTGGCTCCTCACCCACGCTAGGCACGCCCTCTACCCCTGGACCACCAGCCCGCTCCACGTTGCTGAATGGGCTGATACTTAGTATCACTTAGTACTAAGTAGCACTTAGTACTGAAAGTTCTGGAGAATGTTCTGGAGATGCCGTGACTCAGTGTTTCCAGTGCCTGACCTCTTCTCATGCACTAGCGTGTTTGATTCTCCTCAGTTTGCTTTCCTGGAGCTGATGCCCTGGTCTTCAGCTGTCTTCCTGTCTTCCTCCTTAACCTCCTCCAGTCTCTGTTCTGTAAGGGCTTCCATGATCGGCTCACATGGTATTGTTTGGATACTTAACAGAGAGGTAGGGAATCTGTAAAACCAGGATGCAATGCCTTTAATTAACCCATGTACTAAATGCATTATAGTTTCATGGTTTATTGATGTTAAACAAATGGTAGCATTGTGATTAGCCTGTATGAAAGAAAAAAATCTACACCAGTATGGTCTCAGCCGTTGTAGGAGGAGTAAGAGCAATTATTTCCATTTGTAATAAGCAAGTGCGCCCTGGAAATGCCCCTCTCAGCAGTCACCATCCCTGTCTGTCTCAGCTATAATCGCCTGAGGTCAGGTAGAAAGAGCGGCTCACATCCCCACAATCGCTACTTCACTCAAGTTAACCGGGAAGACGTTAACAGTTCATAGATACAGTGAAGTTATTTGGTTTTGCCTCTATATTTTTCAAACTTATTATGAATTTCTCTTTAAAGACCAAAATAGACAAAAAGAGAGGCAGGTAGGCATGTCCTGCGTTGGGAGCTGTTAGTATATAAAGTATGACATAAAACCTTTTCTTTTTTCCTCCCACAGGGAATTATGCTGGTCTATGATATCACCAACGAAAAATCTTTTGACAATATTAAAAATTGGATAAGAAACATTGAAGAGGTATGTGTGGAAGGAAGGGGCAATGCTGGCCTGCTGAGGACATGTAGCAGGCGGCTGTTGCCTTCTCCAGGAGGCGGCTGGGCTGCTGAGGAAGAGAATGGGCAGGAGAGGCCCAGCCATTTCCTGCGGGGAGGGGAGCACCTAGATCCCCAATGGTGCCGGGTGGACGGCCATCTATAGACCATGGTTAGAGGAGCATTTTCATATTTAAACTCAGGTCAGAGCTCAGATACAACATAACCCAGGTCTCCGTTTGGTACCTGAGGAAACAGGCAAGGAAGAAGAGACTTGCCAGTGTCCATATAGCTTTTAAGACAGCCACAGCTAAGATGTCTGATTTCTGGCTGTTTCACCAGAAGAAATAACTATATTTCTGCAACTTTTTTTTTTTTGCCTTTCTAACATTTTATCCTCCTTAGATATTTGAAAATTGGGTTAGTTCTTGGATAGTTGGGTTTTTTTGTTTGTTTGTTTGTTTGTTTTTTAAACCTCCACAGCATTTCAGAAAAAAAAACCCAACTGGCATGTTTTGTGAAACTGTATGATGTGGCAGGAGGGTACCTTATGGGGCCTATGCTGAGGCATCCCCCTGACAGGCCTAGTATAAAACGAAGTTTATTTGGGAGACATGAGAGGGAGTAGAGGCAGAGAAAGAGAGGGAACAGAGAAGGACAGAGAGAGAGGAAAAAGGAGAGAAGAGGCTGGCCTGGAACAAGGGGTGGGAGTGGGGAGGCACTAGAAAGAAAGGCCAGAGAGAGAAAGAGAGAGGAGTCAGAGAGGCCAAATGGTCCTTTTATGGCAAGCCAGGCTGTTACCTGGCTGTTGCTAGGTAACGTTGGATGAAGCCTAGAAGAAATGTTAACGTTCTAACACTGACTAGGAAATAACACATTTGAATGAGCCCATCCCTAGTTGATCTTTTTAAATAGTCCAGAACCCAGGTTACTTTCTCTACTGGATGACTCAGTACTTCAGTGGTGTTTTTTTGTGGGGTTCTTTTTTGTCTTTGACTAGAATTATTGTTTGGTAAGTTTGACTGTTAGATAACCATAAGATATATTTATTGTATGAGTTCTGAGAATGAGTGTAAGCTTTGGGGGAAATGTTCGCATGGGCCCCATGAAGGCTCTTAGCTGAAGTAATTCTCCTTTCTATCTTTAAACTGTTCTCTGATTGTACCTTGGGTTGAATGAAGGATAGTCTTGTCACACGGCCCGTTTCTGACAGGTTAGGATTTCCCGTTGAATTGCTGTGGTCTTTCTAAGACTGTTGTTTTAAGGCACTGTTTTTACTCTGCAGCACGCCTCTTCAGATGTTGAAAGAATGATCCTGGGTAACAAATGTGATATGAACGACAAAAGACAAGTGTCAAAAGAAAGGGGGGAGAAGGTAAGTTTGAACCCCATGGATAGAGGATGGGACCTACTCCCATTCTTAGTAAATACCTGTTTTAATCCTTTAAGAACTAACTACCAAACAACCGTGAGAAGTAGTCTATACTTGAACAGTGGGAATTAGTATTCAAATCAACACTGTTTACACCATCCGGTCATGACTCACCCCTAAAGAATCTGCTGGGAGATACAGATTGGCCTTTCTTAAGATCCCTGCAGCTTTGAGTTCAGGCTCTTTCTTTTAGATCTGTGTGAAAAGCCCAGCTTCGAAGTTAAGATAATTCAGTTTCTGAAAAAAAAAATATACTAGGGTAGGTGAAATTTCAACCACGGTCACTTTCTAGTTTGTTGTTTTTCCGAAGAGTTTAGTACAGGTTAGCTGCCGCGTATAAGGGTAATATTTACAGGCACTGTCTGCCTTGAGTCTCTAGAGCAAAGATTACTTTTTATGCATTTTAACTCCCTTGGTATTTTCTCAATTGTTAAGAAGGTTTCCCTTTTAAGTCTGGAACTTTTCTCCAGCGATAGGTGCAAAATGTGTTTTGTTTTTCAGACTATCAACTTTCTCTTAAAAACCTACATTTAATTTGAGTAGTGTTATTTGGATGTGGACTCTGAGAATAGATGGAAATATAAAAAGAGTTCATATTTGTCATCATTACTAATAGATTAGTTCTCTGCCAGTGAACGGAGCCAATTCAGAACAGACTAGATTGTATTAAAGGCAGGCTTGTTGGGAAGCTGCTCTCAGTCAGTGAGTTCACTGGGCTCAGAGGCCAGATGAGGGGTGGGAGTGGGATGGAGCAGTAAGAGAAAGAGAGAAGGGATATGTGCATAGAAAGAAGTGGAGAAGAGAAAGAAGAAGGAAGGGAGAGAGGGAGGGACAGAGGAAGGGGAGAGAGAGAAAGAAAAAGGTGGGGACAGGGAGAGGGAGGGAGAGAGCCTGTGCAAAATGTCTGGATTATATAGGGAAGAGTCTCTGGGGGAAGGGTGGTACACCCTCTGGGCTGGAAAGTTCAGGGTTGGGGGCAGAGTTCCCCAGTAGGAACTGAGGGATGCTGGGAGAACCTAGAGGCCTGGTCTGCTTTGATATGTAAAATATGCACCTCAGTCCCTGTGGGGGGTCCTTCACAGAGCATTTTCAGAGAAGGGAAGAGGGTGGTTCCATTGGAGAGCTCTGCTCTCAGACACTAGATAGAGGAGTAAATGAATCCAGGCCGTAACTAAGGGTGACACTCCATCTGGTGGTTCTTCTTGTGTGTTTTCAAGACCCACAAGTGCAACAGCACAAATTTCTAACAAAATATTTTACGTCGATGCTGTGTCATTTTTAGACTAAGTTAAATTATAAAATGTAAAACACGGTACAAGAAAACAAAAAATTGAAACCTATAGGAGTTCGGGCATAGACTCTTGAAAAATGTAAAATCTAAGTGCTTCGTACGTCAGAGCCGCTTTCTCTAAATTTGATTTTCTGTTTGTCTTTCAGTTAGCAATTGACTATGGGATTAAATTTTTGGAGACAAGTGCCAAATCAAGTACAAATGTAGAAGAGGTAAGGACTGTGGGTACCTGGGAGGCCCTGGGTCCTTCTGTGCCCTGGGCTTTTGCATGGGCTCTGCAGGCCCCCAGGGCCTTCTGTGCCCTGGGCTTTTACATGGGCTCTGTTCTCTGGACTGAAGCTTGCAGCTTCCACATGGTTTATGTCATGATTCTCGGGAGAGAGGAGATACAAGTTCACGTTAAGTTCAGAGCAGCCCTTTGCTTGGGAGGTTGGGAATGCAGACTCCAGTGTCCTCTGTCATTTGTCGTCACCCTGCGCTAGTCTGTGGCCGACAAGCTGAGTCACTGGAGGTAAGCTGCTGTCTGTCTCCTGAATGCGTCCCCGTTGTGTACACATGTGAAATAGATTGGGCGCTGTAATGCATTTAGTGGATCTAAGACAGTGTTTTCATAGATTAGTCTTAATAAATTTCCATTACGTTAACCACTGAAGCCAGATTATCTGGGGGCTGGCAAGATGGCTCAGAGGGTGAAAGATCTTGCAGGGTCCTTGAGTTTGAGCTCTGGGGTCCATGTCCTCTGACTCCCATGTTTGTGCTATGGCAACAATACTCATACACACAAGCATAATAAGGAAAGAAGATGTAATCATTTTAAAAGGTCATCTAAGCTTTTATAAGAGGAGATGAAAAGTATACTTTATGATCAATTTTAAAACTACACAGAGTACCATCGGTATTTCTACTCTGTAAAGAAAACCTGTTGTAGAAAACTCGGGAGATGGTCTGTTTTCTTAGCGTCTATGGAGTAGGAAGTGGGACTGTGCCTGCCGATCCTGGTGGCGTTCTGACTGAGCTTCCGGGTCTTAGACTCTTCACCCTTCCCTCTTACCAAGACTGAATGGCCTTAGTAGTCACTGGAAACTGCCGCAGCTTTTCTTTCTTTAAAATAACCAGCACTCATGTTTTAGGTTGGCTAGTGAGTGTTGAGAAACAGAAAACTGCCACTGATTTATTTTCATAGATATGGATAAAAAGAAAACAAAAAAAGAAAAGTGAGTTTCCTTCTACTATAGAAGAATTCCTTGCACCAAAAGAGGGACAATTTTTTTGTGCCAGCCCCTCCACACCCCAGTCATGGCCTCAAAAATAAATTCATACCTCTGTGGGAACAAAGTAAAAATAATGACAGATTCTTTTTTTAAGTTACTAATTTGGATTTTTTTGACCTTCTTTAAACTAATTTCCACAGGTTGAGGGTTTGGAATAGGGTTTAGCTGAGTTTTAAGAACCATCAGTTTTGAAGTATTAAGACATGGAAGAGTCTGCATATTTAGGTGATCCTCAGATGAGGTCAGAAAGAAAAGGTAGAGGTATTTGTGAAGATAGCTGTAGAGCTATAGTTTAATACATAATTATTCATTCACTTCTTAAGTAGATTTTAGCATCATGCTAGATAGTCTTACGTCATCTTGACACAAGCTAAAGTCATCTGAGGAGACCTCAGTTAATAAATGCCTCTATAAGATCAGGTCTGTAAAGCATTTTGTTAACTAGTGATTGATGGAGATGTGTTTTATAAGACCAAGGATATGTTTTGTAGAATGTGGTATGGTTCATGTAGGGGTGGGTACCTCAGTGGACCCATGCTACCCTCCCCCGCCCGGGTACCAGCCATAGGATGGACAGGTGTAGTATAAAACAGAGTTTATTGGGGATATGGGAAGGGGAGTTGGGAAGGGAGTAGAAGCAGAAAAAGAAGGGGGGAAGAGAGAGAAGGAGAAGAGGCTGGCCAGGAACACATGGAGGGGGAAGGGAAGACGGGAAAAGGGGTCAGAGAGAGAAGAGAGACCAAAGAGTCCCTTTTATAGCAGGCCAGGCTTACCTGGCTTTTGCCAGGTAGCTGTTAGGCAGAGCCTAGAAGGAATGCTAATACAGCCCACTGTGGGTGGTACCTTCCCTAGGTTGGTAGTCCTGGGTTTTTATAAGAAAGTAGGCTGAGCAAGCCATGGGGAGCAAGCCCTAAGCAGCACTCTTCCATGGCCTCTGCATTAGCTCCTGCCTCTAAGTTCCTGCCCTGACTTCCCTTTGATGATGGACTGTGACATGGAAACATAAGCTGAATAAACCCTTTCCTCCCCAAGTTGCTTTTGTCATGGTGTTTTATTAGAGCAATAGTAACCTTAACTAAGACAAACATCTGGGCTAGAGGTTGAACCCTTTCCCTATAGGAAAAAGATGGTTTAGAGAAGAGTCCCCGCCTGCCCTGCTCTTGGTGTATTGAGGAAGCTACCTATAACTGAAAAAGCAAACAGCATGGACATGCTAAGATTTTAATTATACTTTTTTTTCAATTAAAAATCCTGAAGTGGTCTATTGACAAATAAATAATAAAAATTCTATATTTCTGTTTTGAAATATAACTATTAACAATATTTTTTTGTTTTACCTTTAGGCATTTTTTACACTTGCACGGGATATAATGACAAAACTCAACAGAAAAATGGTTTGTACCACTTAAAGTTTTTATTTCCATGATACAGCCTTTAGTTTGGCACTCAACAGAATGGGCAACCTGATTATAATCTGCTCACCATAAACTTACTTGTTTTTTAGACTTTCATATGATTGCACCGTGGTTCTAATTTCTATGGCTTTACAGTTGTTTCTGCATCACATCTGTCCCAGCTCTTTCCTCTGGCTTCTTAAGGGGTAGTTAATTGAATTTTTATCAGAATAGTAAAAATAATAATGGCAGATATTGCTTTTTTTTATAAGATTATCTAGTTCACTTTTCATAAGTTGGCTTCAATTTGAAACTGTCAGTGATGAATCTTTAGAACATCCTGAAGTTGGTTTTAACATGGGTCCTGATGAAAATGATCTTCCTTCTATTAACAGTTCTTCCTCCTCAAAGTGGGTCGTCTACTGTGTTAGCCCTGTCTCCGTCACTATCTTTGAGACTCTTCAGGCCATGGCTGAAATTGCTCTGAACTAGATATAGGAGCAGTCTACCTAACCCACGATTAAAACAGTAGTGCTAGCTAGCCTCTGAATGCTTTTCTCTTTTTAATCCACCACATGCAGAGAAGACCCTGCTGAGCCTTCACTAATTCCCCTTCTGAGAGAACTTTCCAGTGTGCACCAGTGAGAGGGTGGTAGCTTGTGTCCCCACTCTGCTTTTCCTTTATAGGTAATTGGGGTCAGACCATGAAATCTTGGTTTCCTTAGCAACTTTACACTCTGTTTTTCAGAATGACAGCAATTCATCAGGAGCAGGTGGGCCAGTGAAAATAACAGAAAGCCGGTCTAAGAAGACCAGTTTCTTCCGCTGTTCTCTGCTTTGATGAACTCCTCATTTCTGAGAGACTGCAGAATACCTAGAGGGCCCTTCCCTGCCTCTCTGAAAGCACAGGCTACCCAGCCTCAGAGTCACCTCGCCTGGCTGCTGTGGAGAGCACCCTGGAACTCTAACCTCTCAACACAGACCACCAAGTGGATTCCAGCCCTGTGGCCTAGCAAAAGAGTGGGCTCCTTTCTTTAAAAATGGAAGCAATGATGTGGAGACACACATAGGACCTAACTGGTTTTTCCTTGTTTTACTGCCTGTCCTGGAAGCTGCTGTCTTTCTTTGCACATGCGTGTCAGCCTTTCCCTGGTACAGCGCAATCTTAGACTCTTGACTGAGCACTTTAGTGGCATAAAGTTCTAGACTTGTATATTTGGGGATGCTTAAAGACAGCAGAGCATTAAACGGAGGTCAACCTGCTAGAAGTAAAGGATGGTTGGTCTGGGTCATGTGGCCAAAAGTTCTTCTGTTGGTAGCATTTATTGAAGGGCTTTGATTCGTAGTATCCTAAAAATCATTAACTTTGATAAATGCTTAAATTTTATACAGATGCCCATCTATCCAGAGGCCATAGCATTGTCATCTTTTCTGGGGTCCTTCAGTCATGCTCACCCCTGAGTAGTTGTGTCCCCTTTAAGTTGGCTGCCCTGCCTCCTCTGTGGAAACAGCCTCTGGAAAGCACTGCAGCCTCAGCTCGAGGGTTCTGTTTGCTGTCCCTTCTCCTGTGTGACTGGCTGTCATTACTTACGTATCTAAAACCCGTAGTTTATACAAGCCCTGCTGTCTGCCTGTGTGCTTCATGAGCAGTGATCTTACGTAGGTAGAGATGTGGTCATCACGGCTTTCTGTCCGAATTCACCTGTGGTCTTGTCATGTTAGAATATGTAGTACATTCTTTCCGAGTTTTACCCATTAGCTTATATTACCCTGTTCTTAACCAGAATCCCCACCTGTGAGAGTTAACAAAGGTTAGATTTAGATTTTAGTTTGTAGAAAACAGACATACACAGAGAGAGATTAAACATGTTGCTGTAACTTTAAAAGACAGCTGTTAGTAATGCTGAAAGAAATGGTATTTTTGTTCTATTTGGGGTTTAAAAAAATAAAAGTAATTAGACCTAGCACATCCTCCAGAAATCTTGTCTTTTCATTAGAGCACATGTGATTCAGGTCTCAGCTTTCAAATAGCCATCGCTATGTGTCTAAGACCCAGCCCTGTGTGTTTAGGTTTGTCATTAGAGAAGGGGTGTGGCCATCCAGGCCAAAGCTCACCCAAGGCTCCACTGCCTTTCTCAGCAAATGCTGGTTCTGTCGTTTCTTCTGTGGCTGAAACCACCACACTGGGGACAGGGAGGGTATTTAGTGTTACCTTTTGTGCCAACTACAGACCATAATGTCACTACTGTCCTAACACAGAGGGCTTAAAAACAGGCGACAGTGGCAGTCACTCCCCTCTCTTGTGCTGTACGTTAAGATGGACATGGGTAACTGGTTACACAGACAATTTTGCCTCAGATTAAGACCTGGGATTTCAGTGCTTGAACCAGGCAGGCCTTCCCATCTGTGGGAAAGCTCAGCGCATCCCAGTGGCTACAGGTGTACCATAGTTATTTTTGGTGGATATACTGACTTTACTGTTGACAAACTTCAGCCTCTTCTTCTTTTTCCCTAGTTACCTATCTGCTTAAAATCACACATTACTACCCCCGTGCAAGCAGTGCACACACTGAGAACTGATTACAAGTCTAACATCGTGAAATTAAATACCTTTTGAAAAGAACCAGTATTTTCTTAGAAATGTCTTATCACTACTTTTCTGGAAAAAAAAAAAGTTCAGGCGGTTTCATTGGTCACAAAGTACTTTGCAAAAAGCACAGGTTACTGTGCAAAAATTACACCACATACGAATGTAATTCTCTTCGTGTTTACCTCTGACTGTTTGGTGTCTTAACACTTCGGTTTCTATCTCAGGGGTTGTCTGCAAACCAAAACTGACATGTTCCATGGTCAGCTTCTTCTTTGCTTTGCTTTTGATAATTTCACTCTTCTCGTGTCTTTTGTGGGTTAATAACTAGTCTCCATGAACTTCCCTTTGAAAGAGCCTATAAATGTTAGGTAAGTCTAAAAGTGCTCTTTGAAGCAGCAGCAATTGGGGAGTATATCCTTGTTATATAGAAATACGTTGTCCTTGCTATTTTCTTACATTTAACTTTGCTAAATTGTATATAATTTGAACTCAGACCATAGGAAATTCACTTTCTGCATGGTAGAAACAACCCAATAAATAATCTACTTTGCTTAATAATGTACATACAGTGCATTATTTTTTCTATTTGTAGATGAATTTAGTGGCAGATAATTGTCTGTTCCCTGCTGAGACTGAAGATATCAGGGTGTGTGAGTGAGTGTGTGTGTGTGTGTGTGTGTGTGTGTGTGTGTGTACATTTCTGTGGTCTTCTGGATAGGGTACCTAGAGATTTTTGCAGCAGTATTAGTGGTTCAGTGGCTGCACTTTATGATTGTGCTAATTTTTGACGATTGGACTCGAAATTTTCATCTAGATCCTGATGGTATCAGACAGTAAATTGTACTGTAACTAAGTAGCACGTGAATCAGTTGATTGTAAACTGTTCCGCCAGGAACTTACTCTAGCCTCTTGTACTTCAGGCGGGTGGTAACAGAGCCATCTACTTGTGCGTCAGTTGCTGCCACAGGCCTTCTTCCTATTCATGTCGACATTTTATGCAGTCTTTGTTATACATTTCCTGAAGACTATGCTCTTTACTTTGAAGGACTATTTTTTTTTTAAATTATACCTCACTTAGCTAACTAATATTCTAATAACCAGTAGAAAACAGTGAGCCCGCCTCTAAGCATCCAACACATTTAGGCTGCATGTTTTGTTCTGTCTTGTTTTGAACTGGAGGAAAAGAGAAATGCTTTCAAATAAGGCATGCATGTCAATACTTAGTGGCATACAAAAATATTACTTTCCTGTCCACCTATTAATGAATTTAGTTGTGCAATATAACAGATTGTTCTGCTGTTTATGAGTAAGAAATAATTGTAACTGCATTTTTAGTCTCCAAATACTGAGAATCTATTATGGCTTATAAAGTGTTTTCCTATGAGCAGTAAAAGAACAAGTTAGGCAGACTTTCTTCTCAAGCTTATGACTTGGATTCTTTTATAAGTATAGTTCTTAATCTTTAAGGATGAGATTCTAAGCCTAGAATTTTAAAACCACATTTCATTACGGTAGTTTACTGATCTCAAATTTTCTACAATTCGATTTTTTTAGACTTAAGAACAGCTAAACAAAACCTTCCTTTGTCTTTCTCATCACATCCAGTGGCAGAGAGGACTGTCTGAGAATGAAGTCCCGTGATTCAGAAGGAATCATAGCAGGTCAGGATTTACTAATAAAAGTTATGACTGTCATGTTCATTAGAAGGAAACTAAATGACTGAGTGCATAAATGAAGGTCAGCAAGCGTTTGTTTTAAGGATTTTCCAGATTTTACTTTGTATCTTGAAGTGTGTGCCATATGCCGAGAACTAACAGGACTCCGTGTTTCATCTTTGTACCTTTTTTTTTTTTTAAAGTGGACTTATGGTCGTTTATTCCTGTGGCCTTACGGATGGGTTTGTCTTGACTATTTGCAACTGATGCTGCAGTTGCTTTAGTGCAAAATGCCATGAACTGTCTGACTAAAGTCATGCCCCACCATGGGGACTGTGGAGTTTCTTCATAGACTTCTACTTGTGTGCTTACACATAGTTTATTTTGCTTCAGTGGCTTACTGTGGAAAGCTCCTGTGGAAAGCTCCTGTGGGTAGTATAGACCTGCCCTGCCGCTAATCTGTGGAAGCCAGTTCATTAACTGTACTGATACTGATATTGTGTTTTTTAAAAATAAATTTTATTCCAGGTGAACTTTTTTTTATAATAATGTTCATCTAAAATAAAAAATTACATGATGAAAAATGTGTATGACTCTTAAGTGGATTGTACATTGGAATATATATATATATGGATTTTGAACCATATTTTAATTGGTCTATGTTCATTTTTCATGATAGTGAGTTTCATGAGAACATTTTAATGTAAGTTTATAAGGTCTGTCGAGCATGTTTCCTCCCTGTACTCGTTAGCTTTCCCATCTCTTCCTTCCCTCTTCCATTTGTCCCCTTTATTCCCTTAGACAGATGTCATATGAATGCATACACAAGTTTTAAGTATCAATACAAACTCTAGGACTCATAAATGAGGGGAACACCTGATATTTATCTAAGACCGATTTAATTCTCTTAATACAAACACATTTAGTTATATTTATTTTCTTGCAAATAACGATGCTCTCTGGCTGAATAAAAACATGTATATGTGCCACATTTTCTTTCTCCGTTCCTCTGTAGTTGGACACCTAGGTTGGTTTCGCTGATTCAGCTACTGTGCATAGTCCTGCAGTAACATTGATCTGCGACTGTCTCTGTGATATGGCGACTTGGAGTTCTTCAGGCAGCTGGGTCATGTGGAATATCTAATTTAAAGTTCTTGAGGAGTCTCCACACTAACTTCCATACTTGGCATCCCCACCAACAACAGTGTCTGAGAGTCTCCTGCCAGCATATGTACTTGTTTCTTTTCTTCCTTTTTTTAAAAAAGATGGTCTCACTGTGTACTCCTGGCTAGCCTTGCACAGTACTTCAGACTTAGAGAGATCCCCTTACCTTCTAAGACACAAGTGCCGGAATTAAAAAAGTGTGAACCCTTGATTTTGTTTTTTTATATCTAAGTCTGCCATTCAGACTAGGGTGAGATAATATCTCAACATAGTTTATTTTTCCTCCCAAAGATTCACGGTTATTAAGGGCAAGACAGACTACTGAGAGCCCCTCAGTGTCTAGGAGCCTAACATTAACATATGATTGGGAATAGGGTTTCCACAACCTGGGACCGCTTGCAAGTGTGGCTTTCAGCTCTACCAGGCTCGATTTGGGCCTGAATATAACCTGAGTAATAGGGATAGTTGCAGTAGGGCTTGCCTGCGTGAGTGACATGGCCCTCAGAGTCAGTATGTTTTCAATTTCTCACCTCAGAGGTCCTTGTCTAGTGAAGTCACCCACTCAGTGATGTACACCTCTGTATTAGGGTTTTCTAGAGTAAATAGTTCATAGAATATCTATCTATCTCTCTCTATCTATCTATCTAGCTATCTAGCTATCTTATCTAGCTATCTATCTTATCTATCTATCCATATATATGAGATAAACATATACATTCATATGTATATACAATATATACAAATGTATATGGGATTTATTGAAATAGGCTAATCTGACAATGGCTGACTGTGAAGGAAAGTCTAAGAATCCAGTAGTTGCTCAGTTCCACAAGGCTAGATGTCTCAGCTGGTCTTCAGTATATGCTGGAATCCTAAAGAAGCAGGCTCCAACACCAGCGAAGGTGTGGAGTATGCCAGAAAGGCAAAGGCAAGTGAGCAAAGAGCAAAGGTTTCCTTCCATGTCCTTAGATAGGCTTCCAGCAGAAAATATGGCCCACATTAAAATTAGGTCTTTCCAACTCAAGATCTGAATCAAACATATGTGTTTTCTCACCTCAAAGGGTCAGACTAGAAGTGGATTTACAAAGGTAAAAAAAAAAAAAAAAAAAAAAAAAAAGTCTCTCACAGGTATGCCTTCCATTTCTGGATTGCAATTCGTTCCGGATGTAGTCAAGCTGACAACCAAAGACAGGCACCACAACCTCCTTGCCGCACTTTGGGTCCTCTACACTGTCTGAGGAACTTTTCTGGCAAGGAGTTATAGAGGTGATCCCTGAAAGTCTCAGTGCAGGTCTCCTTTGCCTCTCCTTGATAACTAGTGAGACTGAATAGTTATCTGTTCAGATGTTCATGGGGTGTTTGTATCTCATGTTTTGAGAAGACTTAATGTCTTTGGCCCATTTATTGACTGGGTCGTTCTGAGTTCCTATTTAACATTTTGTGTTCTAAATTTTATCTTTGCATAGTATAGATACTGTCTTCCATAACTATGGCTGCCAAAGAGCCTTCGTCTCCCCCATTGATGGTTTCCTTTGTTGGAATCACACATTTAAAACATGTTTTTTCAGATTTTCTAAGTGTGTGATTTGAACCATGGTAGGTTTGTGAAATTTTAGCAAACTTCACACCTCAGCCTGATGTGTTTAAAGACAAAATGGCAAGACCCTCTGCTTGTTCATAGTCAGACTACACCGCAGTTTTCCTGTCGTTGAGTCCCCAGCTCATCCTGCCTTCCTCAGTCCTTGCAAAGTTGGTTTCTCCTGTTGTGTTCTCACTGGTAAATAACGCTTTGATGACAGCAGGCTTGTTGCTATCCCACTGTTTGCTGTACCTGTTCCTCTCTCAGGTGTCCATCTTTCCCAGTCTTCTCAAAATTATTTCACACTTTAACCAACCTATTTCCTTAAGGTCTCCCAGGGGAAAATAGCAGCAGTTCTAAAGCATTTAGCTGCCCGTCTCTGATTTACTCATCCTCATTCTGTCCTCTAGTGACAGAGGCATTTTCCTACCCTGGTTCTTGCCTTGCCTCCAAATTCATCTTAGTACCCTATCTTGCTTTCAGAGAATTCAGAGCTCATGTCGTCAAACCCATCCTGTCCATCCCTTTCCCCTCCACATCTAAGCATGGTGGCCCTCCTGCCATTGTCCCATGGCTTTCACAGGACTCTTCCTACTGGAATTAAGCTTTTAAAAAGACTTTTCCAGGAGTCAGTGTGGTGGTAGATATCTGTATAATCCCAACATGTAGATTAAATGGATCTCAAGTTTGAGGCCAGGCAGTTCTGTAAGTAAGGTTGTTAGGGTCCAAAACTCCAAAACAACCCAAGCAGGCAAAGCAAGATTTTTATTTGAATTGAACAACAAAACCTGACCAGTCAGGGACGA